AGAGAGAGAGAAACTTCTGTCGGAGAAAATTACCGAAAGAGAAAAGCAGCAGTCAGGATGAAGCGGTACCTCGCAGACTGCAATAAAAGAAAATTGACGTCTCTCGTTGAACTCGATCCAGATAACCGTGCACAACGAGATCACCGAACGAGATACCGCTTCTTTCACCTCGCTCTAACAACCGAGCGGGCAAACAGCTCGAAACGAATGTGCAAACACCTTTGGAGACTATCGGTGTAGAGACTGCAGTGTGGTGTCACGCGTGCTGTATGTACTTCGTATCGTCGCGATTAGCATCGTTGCAGCGCGAAACTTTGGCCAACTTTGCTCGGAGACTTAGAAATTTTGTCGAGTCGATGCAGAAACTCGCGTCTCGGTAACCAGTCTCGTCGCGTTGAAACTCTGCCGAGTACCACGTACCTCTCTCTCTCTCTCTCTCTCTCTCTCTCTCTCTGTGTGTGTTGCACACCTAGATTCCTGCCGATTAACCGGTTGATTCACCGCGTCGTCCCTGTTTCTCCTTCTGTCTGTCGACACAACACGGCGCACACAACACTCCTTCGGTCTGCTCCGTGCTTTTCGTTTCAAACAACACTGTGCGATGGCCGCCTTCTCTTCGAGACACACTTCTCTCTCGGCCGCGCGGCTAACGCTAGACCAGCCGCGGCGAGCACGGAAATAGAATGCGCTGGTATCCGACGTCAGCGTCGACGTTGTGATTCTTTGAACCGTTCCATGAAGGTTTTCCCGCCCGAGGAGAGACGATCGACGACGGCCAACGATTCATAGAGTCGCGGGTTCGCCAACGCGTGTCGTCGTCGTGAATCGAACACGCGACTGCTTGCGTGTCGACCGAGTTCACTCGCGAGACTAACTCGTGGTGCCTCGCCACTTGTGCACGCTGGAGAACGTGCTCTTGTGTATACCGGTTAACGATACTCTGTGCGGTCATCCCTCCTTCTTCTGCCACACGTTCTTCGCTCTCCTCCTTTCCTCTCGAGCTTGGTATTCGCCTGTACGCGTATACGTAATTATTC